CCACATAAGAGCAGACACAGACAAAAAAAATAGATGACATTAAGAAAACTGTGGAAGGGGCTGGGGATTTAGCTCAGTGGCATAAGCGCCTGCCTTGCAAGCAGGCAATCATGAGTTCGATCCCTGGTACTGATAAAAAGGAAAAAGACAAAAAAAATTCCAATAGCATATCTCACAAATTTAGAGAAAACAATCCAAAATTCATCCGGAACCAGAAAAGACCTAGAAAAGTGAAGGAAATCCTGGGCAACAAAGACAAGACAAGGGGCATCACAATCCCTGACTTCAAATTATATTATAAAATGACAGTAATTTTAAAAAAGTGTGATACTGGAAAAAAACAAAAAACAGACCTAAAGATCAATGGAACAGATTAGCAGATGCAGAAACAACTCCAGATACACTAAGCTACCTTGTCTTTGACAAAGGTGCCAAACACATTCACTGGAAGAATGATAGCCTTTTTAATAATTGGTGCTGGAAAGCCAGGCGTGGTGGCTCACTCCTGTAATCCCAGCATTCAGGAGGCTGAGGCAGGAGGATTGTTGTGAGTTCGAGACCAGTCTGAGCTACAAAGTGAGCTCAAGTCCAGCCTGAACTACATAGTGAGACCTTATCTCAAATAAATAAATAAATAAATAAATAAATAAATAGTGCTAGAAAAATTGGCTCTACACATACCAAAGATTAAAACTGGACCCATATCTTTCATCATATGCTAAGCTAAAATCAGAATGGATCAAAAATATTAATATTAAAACAGAAACATTAAATCTGCTGGATGATAGAGGTGTAGGCAAACATTTTATGAAGCAAACTCCATACAGGAACTATCACAAAGAATCAACAACTGGTATCTCACTCTATTGAAAAGCTTTTACATAGCAAGAGAAACCACCAACAGGCTAAAGAGACAACCCACAATGTGGACAAAAATGTTTGCCAGATGTTCCCCAGACAGAGGATTATTATTTTTTTAATTTTTATTTTAAAGGGAGTAAAATAGAACATAAGAAAGCAATGTAAGAGATATAAATTTCAAAGCTAGACAACCTGAGATCTTCACTGGCTATCATATTGTCTCATTTTCTTCCAAATAGTTGGCCATGTCTTCATATACAGAGAATTCATACAAAACAACATAGTATAAAACTGATCCAAACTGAATGAGAAAGGTGTTTTAGGTCTTCAAAACCAGACAATAGGGAAGTCACTAATTGCTGTCATAGAGTCTCCCATTCTCTTCAAAATAGCTGTCCATAATTCAATGTATACTGAAGCTCAACAAAATAAAACAGGAAGGGTGGGAGGGGTTGCTTGGTTTCCCTGCACTCCAGGTCCCAGCTTGGCACAGGTCCCAGCAAACGCCAGTGGCTCCCATCCTGGGCTGCCGTAGCCTGCCATGTTCACAGCTGCTCATCAGGTGGGGAGAGGTTGCTTGGTTTCCCAGTGCTCCAGATCCCAGTATGGCACAGGTCCCAGTAAATGCCAGTGGCTCCTGTCTTGGGCCACCAGAGCCTGCCACACTCACAGATGTTCACCAGGGGGCAGGGGTTGCTTGGTTTCCTGGTGCTCCAGGTCCCAACATGGCATGGGTCCCAGTAAACACCAGTGGATCCCATCCTGGGCTGCCATATGCTGCCACGCTCACAGCCGCTCACCAGGGGGTAGGGGTTGCTTGGTTTCCCCATGCTCCAGGTCCCAGCATGGGACCTCTCCCCAATCCATAAATGGGCATCTGAGATGAATATATACCTCTCAGATAAAGAAATGTGAACAGTAAATATATGTGAAAAAATGTTCAACATCACTGGTCATTCAAGAGATGCAAATTAAAACAACACTGAGATTCACCTCACCCCAGAAACAATGGCCACTATCAAGAAATGAAGCAATACAGCAGCATAAGCACCTGCCTTGCAAGCAGGCAGTCGTGAGTTCGATCTCCGGTACCGATAAAAAGGAAAAAGACAAAAAAAAAAAAAAAAAAAAAAGGAAATCAAGCAATAATAAATGCTGGAGGGGGTGTGAAGAAAAAAGAATTCTTCTCCAATGGTGGTGGCAATGCACGCTAGTGCAACCACTGTGGAAATCAGTGTGGAGATTCTTCAAAAAACTAGGATTGGAAGTCCCATTTGACTCAGCTATTCTCCTTTTGGGTATCTTCTCAAAAGAATTAAAAACATCGTATCACAGCAGCATATGAGCACTCATGTTTATAGCAACACAGTTTGTAATATTCAGATCTTGAAAACAACCTAAATGCTTGTTCATTGAGGAATGGATAAAAAAGATGTATTTTAATACAATGGAGTAATATTCAGCCATCAAAAAGGATAAACTGGAGACTTTTATAGGTAAATAGATGTGATTAGAGAACATATTCATTAGTGAAATAAATAAGACACACACCTGTAAAGATTGTATTGTTTCATTAGTGTGAGAATGTGAAAGAAAAAAACGTATATGCGCATGTATATAAACATAGTTAAGATAGGGCCTGGGGATTTACCTCAGTGTTGTAAGTACTTGCCTGGCAAGCACGAAGTCATGAGTTCAATCCCTGGTACCAAAAAAAGAAGCTATATTACTAATTTTTCTGAGTTCATTGGAAGAGAAAATTTGTGCTGATATTATTCAGACAATTGAATACAGATGTCTTGTGCTATAGGTGAATGATTTGGGGATGACAATGTGCAATGTATGTACCATTGTTGCCCCCTGATTAATGTGCTTGAAATTTTGGTGTGGTTTATTTTTCTTCTTCTTCTTCTTTTTCTTTTTATCCTTGAAATAAAATGGATTTGGGGGAAAAAAAAGTTTGTGGTGATTCTCCTGCCTCAGCCTCCTAAAATCTGGGATTATAGGTGTGTACCACCATATCCATCTTTGATGCTCCCATCCACAATGAAGAACACCCCCAGCTATCGACTGCCTATATCTGAACCCTGGAAGCCAGCCTTGACTGGTTTCCCTTTTCTGACTCCCACAAGCTTATTAGTCCTGAATCTTACCCATCTTCCTCTTAAATCTCACTCTCCACCCACCATGGATGTGGCAGTGAACACCTGTAATCCCAGCACCTGGAACACGGAGGCAGGAAGATTGCTATAAGTCAAAGTACAGTTTTGGCTACAAAGGGAGTTCAAGGCCAGCCTGAACTGCATAGTGAAACAGTCTCAAAAATCAATCAATCAATCAATCAATCAATCTCACCCCCCCACACACACATGGGCTAAAGGGCCTTTGCATTGGATTACATCCCCAGCCCTTTTTTCTTTTGAGATGGGATCCTGTCGAATTGCCCAGATGAGCCTCAAACACACAATCCTCATCCCTCTCAGCTTCTCAGGTGTTGGGATTATAGGCATGTGCCGTGGACCCCAGCTTTCTCAAATCTTTTGACTTGCTGTTCTATCATCACTCTTGTCCAAGCCACCATTTTCTAGCAAAAGGATCTCAAAAGCCTCTCCACCAGGACTGTTTGTAATTCACTCCACAAAGCCAGAATGATCCTTCTGAAACAACGTCATCATGACTTTTCTGTTTTTAATCTTTAGAGGTCCATTATCTTAGGATGAATTCACACACACCTGCCTCAAAACTGCAAAGCTCCTTTGTGATCTGGTTCTCTTTTCCTACCTTCTTCTCCTAAGAGCCTCACTCCCCTCCCCAGCTAGACTGTACTACTTTCAGTTCCCAAAGGCCCTGAGTCTGCTCTCTAATCTCCTGTCAGTGTACATGATGTTCTCTGTGCCTACATTTTCAGCTTTTTGTCTTTTCACTAACTCCAGTTCCTTCCTCTGGTGTTGGCCGGATTAGATTCCCTGCCATCTGCATGGTTCTATAATGTATCTGTCTTAGTTCTACCACACTGTGTTGTAATTGCTGAATTACTTGCCTTTGTGCTCAACTCTGTACATCAGAGACAAGGTCAAAGATGGGCAGTTAATAAATGTTTGATGAATAAATGAATTATTGCCTCCATCTTATAGATCAGCAACCTGACGCAAGATGAGTGGGGTTTTTTTTGTTTTGTTTTGTTTTGGTTTTTTGTCTTTTTGAGACGGGGTCTCGCTAGCAGTTCAGGCTGGCCTTGAGCTCACATTGTAGCCCAGGCTGGTCTCGAACTCACAACGATCCTCCTGCCTCAGCCTCCCAAGTGCTGGGATTACAGGCGTAAGCCATCACTCCAGGCTTCTTGATGAGTGATTCTTTTACCACACATTCTAACAGTCAACCTATCTAAAGTCTTTCTTGTTCCTTTACGTAGCTTAGTCACACAAGAGCCAAGTGTTGCCAGTAGCCCAGAAGAGAGAATGTAGAGATGTCCATAAGGAAAGGGAGGGCTGGGGATGTAGCTCGGTGGCACAGTGCCTGCCTAGCAAGCATGAGGTCATGAACTCAATTTGTGGTACAAAAAAAGGAGGAGGAGGAGAAGGAAAAGGAGAAGGAGAAGGAGAAGGAGAAAGAGGATAAGGAAGGGAATTTACCAAACTGAGAGATGCTTTTATTGGGGTTAAATCTAGTGTCGTTTGCTGTCAGGAAACCTGATTTTAAGTATAACTGCATGGCCAAGCATGGTGGCATGTGCCTGTAGTTTCTCTTGGGAGGTTAAAGCAGAAGCATCCCTATGCCCAGGACTTCTAGACCAGCCTCGGCAATGTAGAGAAATCCCATCACTAAAACAAATAAACCAAAACTGTGTGCTGTTTCGAATCTTGGATTCCCCACCTGTGAATGAAAGAGCTCGAGCAGATACTGTCCAAGTGCAATGTCTGAGGGCCCCTGACCTACCCTGCTGGCCATAGATTCAAGCTCTTTCATTCCTCGTAGAATGCATCACCAACCATCCAGCTCCCCACACCTGCCCCTCTATAGCTCCTCAAAATATGACTGGTCCTTTGTCCACCCTAGTTCTACCATAGTTGACATCAAAGTGTATTCAAACCCTCAGCCAAACCCAACCCCCAAGCCCAGAGTCAGGAGGTACTCAGTCCTCATCTCTCCTCTTGGTTTTATTGACTAGAAACTACATCTTTGTCAGCTGCCAGCTTCATGGGGACAGTACTGGAGACAGGGAGCCTGAGATGCCAGATTTCAGCCTGAGAGCAGAGTTCTGGAAGGTGACCCAAAAGGGAAAAGAGGAGAATATGTGACAAGGAGCTGTAAGGGAAGAGAAGGTGATCGAGAAGATCCTTCTGTCTCTTGAACCTCCCAGAGTTCAGGAACAACCCAGTTTTTGGCCCCTGAAACTTCTAGATTCCTGCCCAAGAACATAGACTTGGCCCATGATCTCCAAACTCAGCTCTTTAGGCTGCCAGGCTCTTATCTAAACCAGTCCAGACTCCAACCCAGCCCAGCCCAAAAAGGAGGCAAACCAGAGGAGAAGAAATAGTTAGAGGTGGCCCATCTGATTGGGGCAGGTTAAAAGCTGCAGCAAACTGGTCAGAGGCTTTGTATATTGTCATGGCAGTAGCTGCTATTGCTAGAGTTTACTGTGGGGCCCAGCAGAGGACAGTGTGGTAGAGACCCATTTTTTGCAGCCAGGGAAGAGGGGAGTGGTGTTTGTGCTATCTGTGTGTTGGGAGAGGCAGCATGACCCCTTGGCCAAGACCTGGGGGTGGCAGATTACTGCTGAACCCACAGCCCAGAAGCCCATGGTTGCACTTCAAGCCTTGAAATCTATGAATTGCTGGGCCTGGAGTAGGAGCGGATATCTCTCCTAGAGGCCAGGTGAGAGGTAAGGGTTGCCTTCTCTAAAGCCCCAAACTCCCATAACCCTGCCAGAGAAAAGAGGAAATCTCACCTCTCCTCAACAGCCAGAACTCAGATGTCAGAGGGGAGCTTTACTTATTTCTGAGGTCCTGGAGGAAAAAGCATGCAGGAGGCCAGCTCGGGGAGAGGGGCCAGTCCCAGGGTGCTGGGGCAAGGAAGCCAGAGGTCTATGGAAGCTCAGTGCTTCAGCTCCCACCAGGACTACTGTCTAGGGGGGCAGTTTCCCACTCCCTGACTCCTTTCCCCCAAGTGGATCATTTCATAAAACTCCATTGCATAGTTCTTGGCAGAGGGCAGAGAAGTCCCCAGGCCTGTTCCTCTCTGCCTCCCCAAAATATGGCTTTGGAAAGGAGTACCTAAGAATGAGGAGGGCCTTCTGAATGGGGAGGCTTGCCCCTCACAGGGAAGAGATCTTGACAGTCTCAGGGAGGAGGCAGGGGGTGTCCAGGCTGGAGTTCCTGAGAGCACTGCTGGCCCTGCCACCACTGCTGCTGCCGCCACCAGGGGAGGATGGTTGGCTCTCATCTGGTGTGTTGGCAGGAGGGGTAGGGATACTGATAATGGCGGCCACGAGGTCCCGGCTGTCACAGTTCAGGTCAAGGCTGTCATGGGGCTTGGCATTGAGGCTTGAGCGGCTGTGGACAGGGATGGGGAAGATGGAAGACTCTTAAAATATTTTCTTGTTACTTCTCATAGCAATCCTGTCCTTTATTGAGTGCCAACTGGGTCTGTGGAAGTGTGCTAAGTGTTCCCCCTGCATCTTCAATGGTGGTAAACAGTAAGGGCTCTGGAGCCAGCTAGTCCTGGGTTCAAATTCCGATCCTACTTTTACCACATGCAGCTTCTCATATCTGTAGCACAGGAATAACAATATTGCCTACCTCATGGAGTTGTTGTGATTAAATGAAATAAGTAATATAAAGACCTTAAGGCAGTACCTGGGACATGAGTACACACACACACACACACACGCACACGCACACGCACACGCACACACATACGCGCGCGCACTAATTTTGTACCAGAAATTGAACTCAGGACCTTGTACTCGCCAGGCAGGTGCTTGTGCCACTGAGCTATATCCCCAGCTACATACTGGCTTTGGGTTTTTGTTTTGTTTTTTGTTTTTTGGTGCTGGGAATTAAACCCAGAGCTTCCTAAATGTTAAATGTACACTCTGTGGCTGAGCCACACCCTCAGCTCACACAGGAGCTACTGTTTTCTACTGTTAGTCCTACTGCTGCCAAAGTCCTTTCAGTAGTCTTTCTTAGTAGTCTATACTAAGTTCTATGAAGCCATGTCCTCACTCCTTTCTGACTTTCCAGCCTAGCATTCTGGCCTTTGTTCTTTCCACTTCACCCACTGTAGCTTCTTCCATGGTTCTTGCATGGAGAACAGCCTCACAGCATTCACACAAACTCTTCATTCTGCACAGAAAACTGTTTCTCTAGTTATCTGTGTGGTTCACTCCTTCGCCCCTTTCAGGCTTCAGCTCTGATCTCAGTAAAGCCTTTCTTGATCATAATGTTAAAATTGCATCAGAGCTGAGCACAGTGGCATACACCTGTATTCCCAGCAGTCTGAGAGGCCAAGCCAGACGATCACAAATTCGAGCTCAGCCTGGGCAATTCAGTGACTCAGATAGACCCTATCTCAAAAAATGGCTAGAAATGTAGCTCAGTGAAAACACTCTGGGTTCAACCCCTACTACCAAAAAATAAAAAATAAAATTGCATCAAGATGGGAGGTGTGAGCTGGGCTCAGTGGTACACACCTGTACACCCAGCACTCAGGAGGCTGAGGCAGGAGGATTGTTGTAAGTTCAAGACTAGCCTGGGCTACAGTGAGCTCAAGGCCAGCCTGAACTGCATAGTGACACCCTGTCTAAAAAGGCCAATCCCCTCAAAAAAAAGATAGGGTTGTGGCTCAGTGATAGAGCACTTGCCTAGCAAGTGTAACGCTCTGGGTTCCATCCTGAGTACTACAAAAATAACAATAGTAATATTTTTTTAATGGCATCAATTCTAGCTCTGCACTCTCTAGCTGTCATCCGTAATTTATTTTTCTCTTTAATGCTTACAAATGTCTGACATAACCCAGGTATAGCAGTACATGCAAATAAGGCCAGCACTCTGGAAGTCTGAGGCAGGAGGACTGCAATTTTTTTAAAAGTAGGAAGACTTTGGGCCAGAGATATAGCTCAGTGACATAGTACCTGCCTGTTGAGGTCCTGAGTTTGATTTCTAGTCCCCCGCAAAAAGAACTTATTGAGAGAAAGAAAATATCTGTCTAAGAGATAGAAGTGGGCATGGAAAGTGGGTTGCCTCCGACTATGCTTTTCAAAGGTGTTTTATTGCGCAAAGCCATGTGGTGAGGCAGGCTTAAGGTGGGACAGAACTATAATCAATCAATAAAATTACAAGTATAGTAACTTAGGTAATATTGATCCAATGGGGTGGGTGTGAGGTGGGACAAAACTATAGTCAACCAATAAGCATGCAACAAGTATAATTGCTAGGGTAATATTGATTAAATGGAGATCAAATGGGGAACAAGTCATGTAGCAAGCACACATGGGCAGACAATGTTCCTGGAAGGGGTGGATAAAGGGATTTGGTCATCCACCCCAAGGTGATTGATGCCTACTTAGAATATCAGAAGAATTACAATTTTAAGCCCATTCTGAGTAACTTTTAACTTATAAATAGCCTTATCAAAATAAGTAATAAAAAAGGACTGGGGATATAACTCATTGTAAAAAACCCTGGGTTCAATCCTCAGAGCAAACAAACCAAAAAATCCAAATGTTGACAACCTATATAACCTGTGTATTTTTTTAATAACATTCTCATCCCATAGAATCTATGTCAGGACAAGGATCTCTGTCTCTCTGTTTCTGTCTCATCTCTCTGTCTACTCAGGATCTCATAAATGTTAAACAAGTGCTGTACTACTGAGATAAGCCTCCAATCCACAACAGGGATTTCTGTATATTCTGTTTTTGCTACATTCCAAGGGTCTAAAACTGTGCCTGGTATACAGTAGGTGATCAATATTTTTTTTCCTTAGAAACAGGGTCTTACCATCATGCCTGGGCTGGCTTTCAATATCTGGGCTCAAATGATCCTTCTGCCATATCCCCCCAAGTAGCTATAATTACAGGTTTGAGCCACCATCACTTCTGGTTATTCAACATTTGAAAGAACAAATGAAGAACGTGAACAAGGCATAGTGGTATGTGTCTGTAATCTCAGCATTTGAGGAGGCTGAGGCAAGATTATAATTTCAATCTCACCCTGGGCAACTTAGTGACTTAGCAATACTCTGTCTCAAAATAAAAAAAAAATAAATAAATGGTTGTAGCAGTGTGAAAGCCCTGAGTAACACACACACACACACACACACACACACACACACACACACAAATGGAGAGTTCCAGACATGATAAGCCCAAACTCCAACAAGGAGTTTGAGCTTAAGTTTGACTTGCTAGGCCTGGAATTATGAAGTCTCAGACGCCCTGGTCCAAGCTCTGTACTTCCCTAGCTGTGGCTAGCAGATGAGATGGGTGCATACCTCTGAGGGGCAGAGCTCCTTCGCAGCCCTGCTAGCATGTCCAGCTCCTGCATGCTCCCACGGCTGACAGAGGCAGTGGAGTTGGCAAGGCGAATGGCACGGCGCTTGGTCCTGCGTGGGCAGCAAGATGATAGCAGGCTTCCAGGTCCCACCGGCTGAGAGGACACAGAGGTGCTGCGGCTGGTGCGCCCACCCAGTGAGACAGCTCCCAGGGCTTCACTGAAGGTTAGTTCATCTGTGAATTCATGGCACTGTGGGCAGAGAGGAGGCTGGGTCACAGGGTACTTCATGGGCTCAGGCTGCACATTTCTAGAAGCTGTTCTACCTTCTCTTTCCTTTCTTTTCCTTCCCTTGTTCATTCTTCAAACACAGCCTCTTCCAGGAAGCCTCATGTTTTGTGTGCTGTACTGGAAATCGAGCTCAGGGCCTTGAGCATGCTAAGCAAACATTCTCCTACTCAGGTACATCCCATCTTTTTTTTTAAGGTCTTGCTATGTTGACCAGGCTGGCTTGGAACTTCCAATCCTCTTGCCTCAGTCTCCCAAGTATTTGGGGTTATAGATATGAGCCAATATTCATAATTAGGAGCCAGCCTTGCATCCTAGGGAGGGGCTAGCTTGGCAGCAGAAAGACCCCCTCCCTCCTGTCATGCCATCTCTCATTAGACCTCACCGTTGTCTTCTCTAGACAGTGCAGCAAATGATGATGTTGCTGTTCAAAAGCAGATCGGTTCCTGACACACAGTGCCTGTCCCTCCCCACTGCTGCTGTCCTGGAGCAAAAGGAGCAGAAGGAAAAGATCAGTAACTTCCTCTGTCTATCCCTCACTACCTTAAATCTCAATCCAAACTATTACCCACCTCTAGCCCCCCATTCTGCTTGTATTGCAGGAAGGCATTGGTGGTACCACTCTTTGCCAACCGAATCCTTGCCAAGCGCACCTTCTACAGAAAAAGGAGGAGACAGAGAGTCAGGGGAGGGAGCCCAAGGGAAACTCAGCTCAGAGTCTGAAGAATGAGAGGCACTGAGAGGGAAGATGCATTTACCTGCTGTGCTCGGCGCTTGTCCGCACGCTGGTTCTGGTGGTAGATGCGGCTAAAGTTGGACACAATGACTGGCACAGGCAGAGCAATGACCAAGACGCCACTGAGTGAGCAGATGGACCCGAAAATCTTGCCAGCAATGGTGCTGGGCACCATGTCTCCATAGCTTGGGCATGGGGGAGGTAGGCCACAGTCAGGAAAAGTGCCCACCCACCTCTCAGTCCCCACTCCATCCCATCTGACCCCAACTCGCTCTGTGATTCTTGGCAGGCATTTAGCCTCTCAGCCTCAGTTTCCAGCTCTGCACAATGTGGAGAGCAACCTCTCTGGCCAGCAATGGGAGTCATGAAAAATGGGGTTGGCCTTTGGGAACCTCTCTCATTTGCTTCCCCCATCTGAGCTAAGCACTGGGCATCTGAGTCAGCTGGGAATCTATTATTACTCACTAGAGGGGAGAAGGAGGAAGTCCTAGGGAGTAAATATAGGTTCCTCGAGAAAAGGCCAGCTGAGGGGCTCTGCCTCCCAGGGGAAGTGTTCTGCTGGTTTTGTCTGCCTGTTTCCAGGCAGAACCTCTGATTACCCTCAAGTGAAGCCTTGGAACTGTCCTCATTTGAAAAATAAAGAGGATCCTTGAAACTCTTTGCCTTCCTCCATGACAGCCTTCTTTCCATGGAGATGGCACAAAGCCAGTCTTACTGACTTTGTTCTCAGAGGGATAAAACTGAAGTTCCACAGTTGACTTAGCCAGAATCACACAGCACACTTCTGTTCTAAGCATAGGACCAATCAGATCTCCTTCACAGAAACACAGCCTCTGCAGTCTTCAGCTTCTAGCCTTTTGCTCAGGCTATGCCCTAGGATGTCTCTTCCTTATTTCTGTTTTACTGATTTTAAGAATTAAAGACTCTGTTCCAAAGACTCTCCAACTTGTCCATTTCTGGGTTTCTGATGTGTCATCTCAGATTGTGTTTCAACTATGAGACATGGGCAGCCAACCACAACTCCACAGGATTGTTGTGATGAGTGAATAGGGTAAAAGGTATCAGAATACCCAGTGCCAATCTACTGTTGGGCCTCAATATATATTTGTCAATCTAATCCTGATCCTCCAACCAAAATTAATTTCTATTCCTTAGAAACCTCAAATCAATTTTTCTCTACTTCTGTTAAGACAGTGAACAAGGCCAATTCATTGAGACATTCACTTAACAGATACTAAATAGCAACATCATACTCTGCTTAATTCCAGTGATGGAGACTTAGAGAAGGATAACAGTTTCTGCTCCACACAATGTTTTTGTTGTTATTGTTTGTTTTTTGCATTTTTGTAGTTCATGTTGACCTTGAACTCACTTGAAGCCCAGACTGGCCTCAAACTTATGGCAATCCTCCTGCCTCAGTCTCCTGAGTGCTGGGTTTACAGACATGCACTGCTATACCCAACTAGACAATGTCTTTAAGAACATAGCCAGATGTGGTGGAACATACCTGTAATCCCAGCACTCAGGAGGCTGAGGCAGGAGGATTCAAGTTTAAGTGAAGCCTGAGCTATTTATTTATTTCTGTACCAGGGATCGAACTCACAACCTTGCACTCATCAGGCAAGCACTTGAGCCACTGAGCTAAATTCCCAGCCAAAGCCTGAGCAATTTAGTAAAACTTTTCTCAAAATAAAGAAGTGCTGAATTGCAGTTTGTGGGAAGGCCCTGGGTGTGTGGCTCAGTGGTACCATTCCCATCACCCCCCCACCAAAAAATCATGAGTTTGATGATTCCATTTGATATTTTCATCCCATGTCTATTTCTTCTTAGGGATTGATAGTAAAAAACCAATAATGCTGAAAAAATATCTTCTGGAAAATATCAAGAAATCGCAAAGTAACAGAGGTAGTGCCCCATATACAGAGAATTCTTCAAGGTTAGAAGACATAGGTTCTTAGAAAGGAAAAAACATGATAGAAGTCAATACCTATGTATCACATGCTAGAAACTTTCAGGGCACTTTCACAACCATGAAGCCATTGAATCCTGTCTAGATGATGACGAGATCATTTCCCACTTTACAGAGGGGGATACTGAGGCCCTGAGAAAATGTCAACACAAAGACAGCAGCCAAGACATCTTTGGGCCCAAGTCTCCTGACCTGGAAAATAGAGGTAAGTTTATAGCTGGGAAGAATTTGAAAATTAAGTCCAATTCTCTGCATTTTAAAGGTAACCAAAACTCAAAAAGAAAGACCATGAATGAAAAAAAAAGGACACTGATACAGTGTGTGCTCAGTATGTGTGAGGTCCTCAGTACCATAGAGAAACAAACAAACAAACAAAAAAGCCAGGCATAGTGGCATACACCCATAATTCCAGCATTTGGGAGGCTGAAGCAAGAGGATCGCAGAAAGTTCAAAGCCAGCCTGGGCTACATAGTGAGTTCAAAACCAGCCTAAACTATAGAGTGAGACCCCCCCATCACAAAAAAGAGGGGGCAGGGGTAGATAAAGAGATTGTTCATATCCCCTTCCTAATTTTACAGAAAGGGTAAGTGTAACTGATGATTTTGCAGCCCCCAAAATAGGGTCTGCACTCACCCAAGTGTGGTCATGGTGACAATGGTGTACCAGAAGGCAGCAGGGATGCTCGTAAAGTTAGTCTTGCTGGTGCCTTTCTCAGCATAGAACATGACAGTGGCAAAGATGATGATGGCCATGGTGAGGGAAAAGAGAAGAAAGCCCAGCTCAGAGGCACAACTCTTGAGTGTATAGCCCAGAATCCTCAAGCCCTGCGAGTGCCTGGAGAACTTGAAGATGCGGAAGACCCGGAACACACGCAAGGTGACAAAGGCACCTGAGACATCATCGTTCTTGGGCACAAAAAGCCCAATGTAGTAGGGAAGTATCGCCACCACGTCGATGAGGCTCATGACGCTCCGTAGGAAGCGGCAACGGCTGGGGGCTGCAAAGAGCCGCAGGAGGTATTCTCCAGTGAATATGAGTACGCAGGCCGTGTCCATGCAGAAGAAGGCCGTCGGGAAGCGGTCACCACAGGACTGCTCCCTCGACAGCCTCCGTGAAGGGCTGCGGCATGGGATGGTCTCTACCACATTCGCGATGACTGATACAGCAATGAAAAAACCGGTCACATAGTAGAAAACCAGGGCTGCAGTGCTCGTGTGTGGGTTCTCAAAGGCGCGCCAGAGCCGCTGCCGCAACGAGCTGCCTCCTGGCAGAGTTGGGCCATCCCCGGTCTGTTCCGCCTCCTCGTCCTCTGCCAGGCGCTCAGCATTCTCCTTCTTGCGGTCCCGGTACTCTTCAAGGCAGCAGTCGCCCACTAGCTCCGGCACCAGGCCATAGAAAGCCAGCTCTTCATCAAAGGCCTGGATGCATTCCTGCCGTGGGCAGTGCAGTCGGCCCGTGCGGTAGAAGTTCAGCACATGCCGGAACATGTCCGGGTCGCGATCAAAGAAGTACTCGCCCGAGTCAGCGTCATAGAAGAACTCTTTCTCAGAACTGCCCAGCAGAGTGTCTGGGTAGCGATCTAGTGTGTTCTTCCAGGTCTCAAAGCGCCGGCCGCTAACATTCACCACCAGAACTTCATCCCCTCGAGATGCCTTCACCCCTGGCGCTGGGGGTAGGGGCTGTTGGGCCAGGGGCAGCCATCCCACTGCAGCTGCCCGTGCGAAGGGTAGCCATGTGGCCACACCTGCCGCCATCCTGCGGCTCCCCAGGCCCAGGAGACGGGGATTGGTGTTTAGGAAAATGTGGCTGTCTCCAGGATGGTGGGGACTTGGAGAGGCCCTGGGCCACCGGGACAAGGAAACTGGGGGTCTCTAGAGAGGCCAAGAAGAACCACGAGGAGGAACTAGAGAGATGGGCAGGTGCTTCAGGGGCATTAAAAGGGTCTAGGAAGGGCCTGGGTGGTATCCTAAGGGACTGAGAAGGGACTATAGCAAGAGGGGCCAACAAAGATCCTCAGGTGTAGAGACACATGATTCTACAGTAGTCAGCATGTGCCTGAAGATGTCCAGAGGTTTAGAGGAATGAATAATCTGGGGTATGTGTGTGGGGGGGGAGTGTTGTCTACACTTTTGATTTCTCAGGGAAGGGAGAAGGGGCTGGAACCCCTTAGTAGGTCTAAAGAGGAGTTTGGGGCATCCAGTGGGCTAAAGATGCTTGAAAGAGGCTGGGATAGCCTCTAGACAGGCTGGGAACAGGGAGGAGGGTTGCCCACATTCTCAAGACTTCAGGGGAAATGATAAGGGGGTTGGAGGTTCCTCATGGATCTGAAATGGGCTGGTGTATCTCAAGGGTGACTATACAGGCAGGAGGTGATCCACCCATGGAGATGAGCAGATGAAAAGTGTCTTGGAAGTACCTAGAGCTGCAAGAATAGCCTGGGGGGTGTTGTATGTGCACTGGAAGAGCTCTGGGCAAAGTAGGAGAGGTAAGGACCCCTAATACAGCAAAGACGGAAGTGGAATGGTTAAAGGGGTAGATATGGGGCTGGGTTATTTTTGCAGAGACCAGGAGATATCTGGGGGAGGATCTGGGGCAATTGAGGAAGCTTGGTCCACTCTGAAGAGTTCTGGGGTGAAGGAAAAAGGGGCTTGAGGAATCCCAAGGGGACAGGACTTAACTGAACCAAAGTTGGACACAGACCCTGAGCACCCAGGGAATTTCAAAAGACTAAAAGGAAAGGGGTTCCCCAAAAATGGGTTGGAGGGGGGTGGGGTTTTGAAAGGGAGTTGGGTGTGTCTTCAGGAAGGGGGCTGCTGGATCAATTAGCAGGCTGGTAGGGGAGGCCAGGAGAAGGTAGGATGGGGGAAGACTGGGTCCCACTGATGGGGGCAGGTCTGGGGAAACCACACCCCAAGGGGCAGGCAGTGTGTGTTGGGCAGTAGCAGTAGCAGCGGCAGCAGCAGCAGGAATGAAAGAAGCAGCCACAGCCAAGCCTAGGAGGAGAGGTGGCATAGGCAGGGGGTGGGGGCTGGATCCCTGGAAGGACACGGTCCAGTGGTACCCCTAGGAACTGTCCCAGGATGGGCTAGGGTCTGGGGCGAGGAAGGACAAGGACAGCGCTATTGGTGGCCCCCTCCCCTTCCCCATAGGGCCGTCCTCACCTGTGTCCCTACTGCAGTGGCAGCAACAGCGGTGGGGCTGGGGGTACACCGGAGCGGAGCTGCCTGACCCCTCTGCAGTGCTGCAGGAGTTCTCCTCTTCCTGCTCTCTCTCCCCACCCCTCCGTGCTTGCCGGGAGAAGAGTGCTGGGAGGGGCCTCGTAGCTCCCAGAGCCCCCTCCCCTAGGACAGCCTAAGAGGGACCCTGGGGAGACTCCGCCTCCTACAAAGCTGGTTGGGCCTCAGTCGCGTCATCTGGAAAATGGGGGTGGCAGGGAGTATTGCCAGTTCTCCTCACCTCCTTCCTGGACTCCCCCCTCTTCCTGCCCAGATCCAACCTCCTCTGCCCCTAGAGGCCCCCACCCCCACCCGCCTGAATCAGCAGCACTTAGCAGATCCCGATCGATGGAGAGGCGTCTGTTAATGGCCCCTGAGTGGAGTGCCATGGAGAATGATGCAGCGCTGTGTCCCTTCCCTGCCCCCCCCCAGGCTGTGGCGGGCAGAAGCTGCGGTGGGGGCAGTTACTGGTTGTGTGAGTGTTTCTATAGTTGGGCAGATTTTCAAAGCTGTCCCCTGTGGGGGGGGGCAATGTAGGCTAAAGCCCACTGTTAACCAAGACACACTGTGGGACTGGAGCAAGACATCCACTTTTTGCATGTGAGGTAGAGTAAGGGGGTGCACATGGGGACAACCCAGGCCCACACACTACCTCAGCAGTCCCCATGCCAGGGGACAGGCCCTCTCACCCATCCATATCTGGGAACAAATCACACCTCTCCTAGAGGGCTCTACTGCTGGGTGGCAGGCACGTGGACCATAGGGTGCCTCTGGAAGGCACAGGTCAGTCCAAACACCAGCTTTGCCACCAACTTGTGTCCTTGAGCAAGTGACTTATATTCTTTCTTCAGCTGGAGAATTCTCCCAACTCGACAGTGTCATTTAGAGAATACATGAAGTGATGTGAAAGGGTATGGCACTGAGCCTGGCACAGATGATGTCTAATCGTAAGTACATTAAGGTGTCTGGTGATCCACCCATGAGATGAGTGGATGAAAGGTAAGACAAAAGGGTGCAGTAACACAGGACTTGGTCTAGCCTTTCAGTTCATCTGCCCACCCAGGAAATTCTCCATTTGCTCACTCATCACACTCCTGACTTGTCCATGCTTCCACCCCTCCACACACACACACACACACTCATTCTACCTAGACCAACCACTCTCCCATCCTTCAGCCCCTCATCTGTCCATTTCGTCACTAATCTGCCATTTGCTCATCCATTCCTATGTTCACCCCATCCATGTAACTACTCCCCAACCTATCCATAGCTGTCAATGTCCTCCACTCCACTCATGTATCTGTCCATCTCTCCACCTACCATTTATGCCCTTACTCTTTACCCTTCCCATTCACTGGCTCACCCATCTGTACCTTCTCTTATTCATCCACCAATTTACTCCCATAAATTAATCCATCCACCACCCAACCTAATTCACCCACCCATATATTTGTCCATACATCCATTCATTTACATCTCCACTTATCCATTCTCTATCCACTTATCAATCCATTTATTCATCCAACCACCTATCCATCCATATGCCCATTTATTTTCCAGCCTATCCATCAATGATCCATGAAACCTTTCACTTATTTATCCATCAGTCCATTCAGCCACTTACACATTCTCCCATCTCTCCGCTCATCCACACCCATACCCACTCACACATTGGCAGACATTTCTCCTCTCTCAGTTTGAGAGGTTGGTCAGGAGACAGGTTGAAGTGAGGGTGGAGGAAGGAAAGGAAAGTTGCAGTCAGAGACCTTCTTCCCCATTCCAGGAGTGACCCTGCCAGCCCCAGCACATCCCTCTTGATTGAAAAAAATGAGAGCAGACAGTCAATGGGTGGGCCTGTCTGGCCAGATGGTATTTTGGCTGCACAGCTTTTACACACACACACACGCACACATATGATGCTAGAATGCTGAACAGAGACCATGCCCCCACCCAACATCCCCGATCCCAAATGCAGGGTAGCCAGGCTTCCAGACATAAATTAAAAAATAAAATAAAAAAGGAATTGGTCTCTAGGAGAGCTCATGCAGAGATGAAGGCAGAAGACCTTGGGAATCAGAGCCGAGAAGAGGGAGAAATCCCTGCCCCCTCCCTTCGGATGCCTACTCCCCAAAAGGCCTCTGCCCTAAGATGGGGCCAATAACACCAGCTACCAGGCCTCTTGCCACTTTAATGTTCAGTCTTCTGAACTACTAGATTTTGGTGTCAGTTCTCCCACCACAGCCCACAAGGGAATGGCATGGGGCAGGGCATGGGAAGGGAAAGGAGTGGGTGCAGCCTGTAGATCTTTAGTTGGCTTCTCCTGGCTCTAGGTCAGGGTCAGGAGACCCCACGCACTCCTTGCTGAGCCGCACAATTTCCTGGGATAGAACTTCCATGTCCTAAGAAATAAACAAGCCATCAGGGGCCAGAGTAGGGGTCAGGGACAGCTCCCTTACCAAACCTGGGTGCCACTTGTGATCTCCTTTTCAGCCCACTAGTCAATGCCCAGGAGGGACTGGCCTGGAACGGAAGGTACTCAGAGAGGCTCACAGAAGCCCCAGCAAAGGGTTGGGCACAGAGAAGTTTCAAGGATGTATGGGGAGTGAGATGGATTGGGTCACCTGTTATGGTCACCCTTGCCACCTTCTCTTCTAACAAATGTGAGCTTGCTTCTCCAAGGCAGAAGCTGGGGCTGAGTCCTTTATGACTGTCCCAGAGAAAGCGGGTATTTGGGTAGCAGGGTAGGCAAACAGATGTGGGGTGGACACATTAGATTTATGACAGGCAAATAGGTACATAAATGAACTGTGCAGAGGAAAAGGACAACAGGTAGACAGATCACAGGTGGGTAAATGAAAACTAAGACAGTGGGTGACTGATGAACAATTAAGGGAGAATGGTAGATCAGGAAATGAGTGGAGGATCTGGGGGACATGATTTGATGGGTATATAATAGAGTGGGTAGATGGACAGATGGGTAGATGATTGATTTTGTGTATGAATGGACAAATGAGTGGGTACAAGGACAAAAGGAAGAATAAAAACTAAACTGATAATAAACTGACTGAAAGATGGAAGATGAGAGCATGAAAAAGTGGTAGATAAATATGGGAGGATGACTGGGTAGACAAAGCTGGGGGACTGAGGACTCATGGGCTGTGTGGCTGGAGAAGGTGGCCATATGGGCAGATGGGTAGGCTGGCAGGCCACACTCGCCTTATGCAAATGCATATTCTTGGTGAGTTGCTCCTCCAGCATGTTCTGTAGCTTCTTGTTCATCTCCCGAAGGTTCTCATCGCCTGGCTTCACTAGGTCTCTCAGGACGCTGCCCAGCCCGCTGCGGTCTGTGTGGCCTGCTGCCACAGACACATCTGCAAGGGCCCAGGCTGAGCACCAACCCCTCGGCAGAGCCAGAGGAGAGATGAACAGAGCCAGAGGAGAAAAGAGGGAAACAAAGAGCAGGAGAGGGAGGACAGAAGCCATGTTATGTAGGGGTGGAGGCTTCAACACGTGAAACACAGCTCTATCTCTTACTAGCCATATGACCCTGAGAAATAGGGACAATGTGTAGTTCAATACCCAGGTGTGGAAAATGCGTATGACTGGATGCAAAGCACACAGCACACAGTGAATCCTCAGGGTATGTCAGCGGACATTGTTCAGATTAATAAAGAGAAGGTTTGAAAGAAAAGCACAAAAGAAATAAGAATAGGGAAGAGAGAGAAAAGGGAAGATAATGTGGAAGATGGATAGGAGAGGAGGAGGGGGCCGGGGAGAAATGATGAGGACCCCATAAGGGATAAAGATAGAAAAACAAAAAAATGTATAGAGAACAATATAGTCAGAGAGGATAACAGAAAGAAAGAAGCAGAAAAAAGACACACAGGGAGAAGGCAGAGGAAGGAGGAAGAGGAAAGGTGGGGAGAAAGAGGAGGAAGAATAAAAAAGATGGAGGTCAGGGAACTCACTAGAGAATGGAGAGTGAAAGGACAGAGCCACAGAGACTAAGTGCAGGTGACACAAATACAGAGCTCCCTGCTCTCCCCTTCGGGGGTTGTGGTCTTGTCAGCAGCTTTGTTGAATTCCAAGAGGGGAAAAGCCACAGTGTAGATACAATGAAAGCGGGAGGTGAAAGGGGGTGAGGGCTGGGGAGGGGGCACTGACCAATCCGGCTGTCCATGACGTAGGTCTCAATAATGGCACTCTTCCGGCAAAGGTCCTCTGCCATGGAGGCACTGCTCACCTCCAGGTGTTTTACCTGCAAGATGGCCCAGCCCACTTTAGGCCTGCCAACTATACATGTTTGCCCATAACACAGGACCCAGCCAGACCTCCACCTCACTGCCCACCAGAACACTTCTAGTGGGGCTGAGCAGGCAGACAGCACCTTCTCTTCTAGCATCCATTTCTCCTGCTGAGTTTCTGCCAGTCGCTGAAAGAGCTCAGCCACTTCCTCATCTGACAGCTCTGCTGGCCGAGGGGGCTGGGCCTGAGGGCTGCTGGATAAGGACTGCAGGAAAAAGGAGAGAGAGGCCAGCCTTGGCTCAGCACAGCCCAGCCCAGCCAGGAGAAAGGGGCTGGAGGGAGTTAGGAGAGCTAGGGTCCTGCGGCTGGGGCTGGTGGCCTGTCCTGGCACCCTTAGAGTCTGTGTTCCTCGTACCCTAAGAGCAGCAAAGAGCTTCTGTGACAAGACTAAAGGAGATCCACTAGTAAATGAAATCTAACTTCTAGCTGACAGGAAATAGAGGTAAGAGCAGAACAGCAAAGTGACATGATCAGAAGCCAGTAGAAAAATCCAAAAGGTTGGATATTTACTGCAGGTCAACTGAGCTATTCTATTCCATGAGTGGTATCAGGAAAAAAGAGATCACGATGCCATACATAGGGAAAGAAAACAACCAGGTGCCCAGTTCTCTGAAACTGAATGCTGCTTTTCAGAAAACCAACAATTAAAAATATCTTGGGGTTAAGTTTAAAGATATTTTGGATAAAAATTAAATCATAAAAAAATTGGGGGAAAAAAGATGTTTTGGGACCAACCAGAAAAGTCTGATTAAGGTCAAGGTATTAGATGAGATGAAAATTTGCCAAATTGAGAGATTAGATGAACAAAAACAGGTTACTCAATCATTTAGGTTTTCATTTTTTGGGTTTTTTTAAAACTAGATCTCACTATGTATGCAGTTCAGGCTGGCCTCAAACTCATGGTGATCGTCCTGCCTCAGCCTGCCAAGTATTAGGGTTATTCATTTAGATTT